TAAGAATAGCCGGCTGGATCAGGCCAATGGCCCATCTAGTCCAGCATCCTGTTCTCAGTACCCCAGTGGGAAACCCACAAGCAGCACATGAACACAAGAACCCTCTCCTCTCCTATCCAGCAACTGGTATCAGAAGTAGGGGCAGCACACTCTATTTCACCACCTAATGCAGAACGGGACAGTGCTGCCCTGTCTCCCCACTGCTCCCTTACCTGGGTCATGCAGTGCCACTTGAGGAAGCTGCTTCAGTTCGCCTTATGGGTGGGCTGGCCCTGTTCAGAAGCACTGCTGCCTCCAACTGTGGAGGGAGAACATACCATCAAGGTTGGTAGCCATCAATAGCCCTCTCTTCCATGGAATAAAGCAATAATGAAACATTTCAGAGCAAATTTGGGGAGGGAGCATAAAAAGAAAGCCTGCAGATTGCTTCCATTTTTACCAGGCGTATGTCGGACAGAATCAAACTTTTCTTGGGTACAAGTGGGGTGGCATGAATCCATCACCCCAAACTGGTTCATTAGCACCCTCCTAGTTAGGATACCGGGGGGGGGGGGCGGGTACGGGTGATGTGATCTCCTTCACTGCTCTTTGCCACACTATGCCAAGACTCTGTCTCCAAAGATGTTATTCTGACACTCTTATGGAGTGAGTGAGGCAGGAAAGAAACATTTTCAAATTAGGAAACTGTTCAAGGTATTTTCGATGCTGACAGAATGACTTCTTTGCACACAAACTTCGCCATCCCTGCCAGAGAGGTCCTCAACAAGGCTCAGCTGCCATTCCTACATTGCTGGGCAGGTTGTACCTCCCAACTCTATGATTCTGTGATTCTGCAGTTCTTTAGCTGTGATTTCTGTTGTGCTAGATGGCCACTGGGGTTCCTTCAAACTGGAAGATTAGGGCAGAAGCAGCTATTCATCAGTTATTCATTAAGTTTGCACAACTCAGCCAGAACTTCAGCCCCTCAGCTGCCATTCTGAGCTTCAAAGGCAGTGGCAGATTTATTAGCCATGCCTTTCCCACAGTTCACCTCCAGCAGGTTATTAGATCTCTTTTTCTTTTCACCTTTCAGAATGGCTATGAGACAGGACAGAACAATTCAGGACTGGGGTGCCAACAGGTTTGAAGAAAGGCCTTGAATACTTAGGGGGTGGGGTTTGCAAAAGAATTTGGTATTACAACACGTTTTCTTTAATTGAAACCACCACCATAGTTATAAAAGAGGCTAGCTCAGTGTGGAAAGGCTGTTCGTAAGTTCCTGCTTTAATCCTCTCTTGGAAGAATTGAGATCCACTTGGCAAAAGCACCAGCATTCTCCATGCACTTAGAGGCCTGTGCCAAAATAATTAGATGGACAAATACAGGACAAGGGATGCCTGGCTTGACAGTAGCACATGTCAAAAGGATCTAGAAGGTCTTAGAAGACTACTAGCTTAATCTGAGGCCACAGTGTGATGCAGCAGCAAATTTTTTTTTATGCGATTATAGGCTGCATCAAGAGAAACCTAGATCAAGGGATGTAATACTACCACTCTCTTCTGCCTTGGTCAGACCATACCTGGACTACTGCATCCAGTTCTGGGCATCACAGGATATTTGTGACAAGATGATTAAGGGTCTGGAAACCAAGATTTATGTGGTATGATTGAGGGAGTTGAGGATGTTTAGCTTGAAGAGGAGATTGAAAAGTGACATGAGAGCCACATGGGCGTAGCCAAGGGGGGGAGGCAGGGGGGCGGTTATTACCATAGTGAAGGGATCATTCCCTCTCACCTGCTTAGGCAGCCTAAGTAGGGATGGTGCTGTAACTTTTGTCAAAAAAAGAAATGAGATTCGTCTGGCATGACTTGTTTTTGAGAAACCCATGTTGGGTCTTAGGAATCACATTTTCTAAGTGCTTGCAGACTGACTGTCTACTTATCTGTTCTATAGCCTTTGTTGGTATTGACGTCAAGCTGGATCTTCTTTTCTCCCCTTTTTGAAGATGAGGACATTTGCCCACCTATAGTCTGCAGGGATTCTCAAAGATTACAGACAGAGGCTCAGATTTACACCTGCAAGCTTCTTTAATACCTTTAGGCGGAGCTGATCAGGCATTGCAGACTTAATTTAAAGTAGCTAAGTGCCCCTTACTGCCTTTTCCCTATCTTGGGCTGCATCTCCTCCTTGCATCATTTATTGTGTTATCACCTGGTTGGGTACTGCTTTCCTTTTGGGTGAAGACAGAGGCAAAGTAGAGGTTGAGCAATTCTGCATTCTCTTTTGTCACCCAATAGCATTTCTCCATCATCTCCATGCAGAGGACCTACCACTTGCTTGTTCTTCCTCCTGCTTCAAACATAGCCAAAGAAACCTTTTAAAAATTAATTTCAACCTCTCTTGCAAGCCTGAGCTCATTCTGAGCTTTGGCCTGCCTGACATTTACCCTGCGACTGTTTACCACTCGTGTATACTCCTCCTTTGTGATTTCCCCTTTCTTCCATTTCTTATACATGCTATTCTTAATAATTGTATGCCTTGCCATCTAGAGTCCCTTGTTCCTAGGAAGGGGAAGACTGGAGCTCATTTTTGTTTTAATTTGCACTCCCACATGGATTTCGCTTTGCTTCATGCCTGGACACAAAGGAGATGAATTGGGCGTTTGCTCTTTTCTAAATCATCAATCTTGGAAGAGAGTCTACAGTGTGCTTCTCCCTCCTCCATCTCATCACCATCTCACACTTGGCTGGAAGGCCAAGGGAACTATCACTTGAAATCTCACTGCAGCGGGAACACACTGGCGTGCCTTTAAGGAACTTGAAACAACATAGGAAGATCAGAAGAGCCTGGCTGGGTCAGGACAGTGGTTTTCCAGGTCCAGCATCCTGTTCTCACAGTGGCCAACCAGGTTTCTTTGCGAAACCTGCAAGCAGGATTCGAGCACAAAGCACTTTCCTCTCCTTTGGTTTCCAGAAGCATTGCTGCCTCCAATAGTCAGTGGCAGGCCTTGAGGTCTCAAATTTCAGTGGCACCCTGTGTGGCACCAAAATGTAATTCCTGCATTGCAGGGGGTTGCACTAGATGACACTCATGGCCCCTTCCAACTCTACAATTCTATGATTTTAGGTTGGCGCCCTCTGTCGTCCAGGGGAGGTATTCCATCTCCTTTCTCATTTTGATTGCCCATTTCAGCAGCTTTTCCTGTTCGACAATCTTGTTTTTTATGATTGTAGTAACCAGAACTGTACATAGCTTCACAAGTTTGTGTAAGAGCATTACAATGCTGGCAGCATTATCTTCCTAATATTTTCCAGCTGCCACACACTGAGCCAATGTTTTTGTTTATGACCACTACCCCGAAACATTTTATTTTATTTTATTTTATTTTATTTTATTTTATTTTTGCAAGTGTCAGTGTGGCACCACTAGGGCAATGGGTAGAAATGGATGGGAATGAGGAAGGCAAAGACTTGGCTGGAAACAGGGATGATTCCGTTTGCATTTAAAGGGAAACATGCCTATTTTGCACTTTCTAAAACAATTTGAGAAGAGCCCCATCCTTCAAAATTTGGACTTACCCAAAGTTTGCAGTGCACCCAGCAAAGTTTGTAAAAGCAATTTCCCCTAATTGCTTGCAAAAAGAAAAGTGCATAATTGCCTAAAACTGCATACAATAGTTGGTTCATTAACACAAAGTCACAATAAAGGCCTTTGGGAACAAGTTTTTAAAGGTTTTTTTAAGGAAAGGGCTTTTAATAGTGCTGGTTGTTTTTTCCCTCTGTCTGCCTTTTATAGATTTGTATTGTTTTAATCTATTAGAGTTTAATTAACTTTTAACGATTTTCTTGTTTTTTTGAATTTGTATAAGATGCCTTCAGACCTGGCATGAGTGGGGTATAAACAAACATTGTGTTTGTTTGAATTTTCATTCGCTCTTGTGCTTGAATCCTGCTTGCAAGTTTCCTGCAGGCACCTGGTCCACTTCTGTGAGACTAGATGAGCCATTGGCTTGATCCTGCAGGGCTGTTCTTACGTTCTTATCATTTCAGCATGACATGATACCAACAGAGGAGGTGGCTGCAGGCTAAACCACTCTTGTTGAAGTCAACGGACAGTCCAAAACGGCTGCATACCCACAGCCACATACAAGGATAGGGCCTTGCTTATCTCCTTTGCTGCCAATCTTGAACCAGCCATCACATCTGGTTTCGTGGAGAGACAGTGGAAAGTTTGATGATAAGAACTGTGGTTAAAGTCTGTTATGCAAAGTGGGTGGAGAAGTAGCTGCAGAAAGGGACAGAAGGGGGTGCGGTCTACCCCAGGTGTCACCACTGAGGGGAGTGACAAAATGCCAGGCGGCACTCACCGTGGGGCCTGCAGCGAGCCACCTGTCTCTCATGGGAGAGATGTGGTGGCTTGGGCGCGTGCAGGCTCCGCACTGCCCAAACTGTCTGCCCGCTGCCTCCCCCTCATCTGTAGAGTGGCTGAGTGGGAGGAGGCAGGCAGACTCTGGAGGCCCCATGGTGCATCCCACCCCTATAGGTGGCACACTCCACCCCTAGGTGCAGCGCCCCAGGCGCCCGAGCAGCTTCCTCCACCACTGGCTGCTGGCTCTTGCAAGATCTCAGTGGAACCAGAAACTGTAGCTGCATGACCCTGGTAAACTAGGCTTTGGTGGCAAGCAAGGCTGCATGGTGCACAGAGAGCAACACCTTCTCTTCACCCCAGGCAGTGAAGATACCCCTGCCAACAGGTATCTGGTTGGCTACTGCGAGAAGAGGATGCTGGCCTAGATGAGCCACTGGTCTAATCCAGTTGTGCTCTTCTGATGCTCTTATGGAAACTCCAGGCCCAGAGGCAGTCTCCATAGGTTCCTAGGCTGTTTGGGGCATTTGGCCACTATGAGGATGCTGGGCAAAATAGGACATTGGCCTGATCCAGCAGGGCTCTTCTTATTAATCATACAAACGTAGAGTTGGAAAGGACCACATCCAGTCCAACCTTCTGCAATGTAGGGTTTTTTGCCTAGTGTGGGGCTTGAACCCACAACTTTGACATTAAGAGTCTCGTGCTCTACTGACTGAGCTTTCCTGCAGGTTATTTCCATATGTTCACCTGTGCTGAGAAGTGCCTGCAACTAGGTCTGAGTACCACCACCCTGTACCGAAGGTGTGACCTGTAGTCTCCTAAACTACCATATAAAATCAAAGCACAGATAGTCTGTGTAATCACTTTGGTCACTTAATAAAATACAAAACTAGAATTCTAATGGTCAGACCTAGAATTTTATACAACGTTGGGGAGATTGTGTGTATAGATGCAGTCACTGTTCATCTGCACTATTCCGCTTAATGGGGCTAAATGGTGGTTTTGAATTTAATACAGCAGGAAAATTTTATTATTTTAGTTTTATTGAGTTTTTGAAATTAAAGACAGTGATGTTTAATGTGACTCTTAGAATAATACAAATTTAATTACAAAAAGAACGCTAAGCCCTAAGTGTTATTAAACTGAGCTTTTCAACCAAAAAAGGAGAATAAAATTAAGACCTCAAACTACATCGCTGATAGGCTGATAAAGTAATAAAGTTGCAACAAGTTACAGTCTTATCCATAAACAAAACAAAATTAAAATAAAAAATGATGCCAAGACCCGGTTACTACATTGGCATCAATACTAAGTTTTCCACTAGTTCTCTTGAACAGTTAGGTGAGAATTTGTCTGAATAATATCTTTGCTTTTTGTTATATCACAGGTAAGAGGAGTAGTTTGTGTGAAGGTCTGGGGAAGCAATATGACTAGCCAGATTGTGCTATACACTGTTGGCGCATATTGCCGATGTTCTGGGATGCTGGCAAACATTATAAAGTCAAAACAAACCAGAGTAAATTTGCCAACGCAACCTTTCTGTCAGTCTTTCCAGTAAGGCTGCCTCCTAGACTGTTTTCTACCAGTTGCTCACCTTTAAACAATAACAAAAAAATCCAGTGCCAGATTATGACACGTCTTACTGCCTGTAAGAGATGAGTGATAAATTCCTTACTACGTAAATTTAGATTAGTATCTATCAACATGTTCTGGAGAACTATTTTTCTGTTGGCTTGTAATTTTATTAATTTCACCAAGCCTCCTTCACTAAGAAGTTATTACTTGATTTGAATTTAACTCATACCACAGATATAAAGTAGGGTGATATAATCAGCAGATTGACAGTAGTAGGTGCAAGTTTGGGCTGTCCTGCCAGCTTGGCAAGCCCAGGTAGATCAGGTTGCATCCCTTGCTCACCAGCCTGGGATTTCAGGCCAAGGCATCCAGTGACATTTAGCGTCAGTCCTCACCAAACACAGCAAAGAAAATATTTTTTATATATTAAAAAAAGAATGATGTTTTGATTTGGAGACCCAAACTAAACCACATTTCCAGTCTTCTTCCCTCTCAATTCTTCAACAGCATGAAGAGGATATTAAACCAGGCCAATGGCACACCTAGTCCAGCATCCTGTTCTCACAGTGGCCAAAACAATGCCCATTATGAGAAGTGCACAAGCAGGGCATGAGCACAAAAGCACCTTCCCTTCCTTTGACTTCCAGCAACAGTGGAGGGAAGAGCATAGCCACCACGGCCAGCAGCCATTGAAAGCCCTCTCCTCCTCCAGGAATTTGTCTGATCATTTTTCAAAAAACCATCCAGGTTGGAGGCCATCACTGCCACTTGCAGGAACGAGTTTCCTAGTTTAACTCCACACTGTATGAAGAAGGACTTTCATTTATCACCTTTTCTCTTTAATTTAGAGGAAAGGCGTTGTTGTGGGAATCTTGCTGAATCAGAACCATGTGGAGAGACAATGGCTTCTTTGGGGCTTCATACAGCTTGCAGGCAAAAGGTACCTAGATGACCAGGTGGACTTCCTTAGAGCACAGGTCCAGACAGGATTGGGAAAGGGGAGAGAGAAGAAATTATTACTGTTGGCATCTGTCTTTCTCGGGAGGCAATGGAGGAGTGTGCCTTTCGGGGGGTGAAGCCAAACCCTTGGACAGTTACAGCAACTGCTGAGACTATGGAGACCAATGTAGGAGAGACATGTTTTGTTGCAGCTGGGGCAGATGAAGGCGTCTGGTTGTGCTGCTGCTATTACTCCTCCTCTATTTAGTTATATTCTGGTTTTTCCCCAACTCAATTCAGCTTAAAGATAAAATAGAAAAAGCTAAAAATAATAGAAATAAATAAACATGGAAAGGTAATTAAACACTAACAGAATTTATGTCAATATATTAGCTCTATTAAAAATACAGTTAATGACAATGAAAACATCACAGAACCAGCCCTTTCCTCAAAACCAGTCCATTCCCTAAAGCCTGTTTGAATAAGATTCTTTTCACCTGCTGGTGGAAGGACAGCAAGGAGGGAGACAGTTTATCCTCATCAGGGAAGGAGTTTCAGAGCCTGGGATCAAGTACCCTCCCATTCCTTTCCCCTGCATGCCTGCAAGAAAGAGCTTGGAAATCTGAATTTAATTTTTAAGAAATCAAAAAAATCCTAAAAATCCTTCCAGTAGCACCCTAGAGACCAACTAAGTTAGTTATTGGTATGAGCTTTTGTGCGCATGCACATTTCTTCAGATACACTGAAACAGAAGTTACCAGACCCTTATATATAGTGAGAGGGTGGGGAGGGGTATTACTCAGAAGGGTGGTGGGAATGGGTGATTGACTGATAGGTGTGGTAAACCTGTTGACGACTGTTAACGACTGCAATTGGTCTTACAGGAGAAAGCAAGGGGTGAGATGGCTAAAAATAGCTTTATCATGTATAATGAGATAAGAATCCAATGTCTCTGTTCAGGCCAAGTCTCTCCATACCAAACCTAAAACCATAGTACATAGTATATGACGAGCTTAAAAAAATGTTTAAGTATAACTTTATGAAAAATACAGAAGCTTTTCTATTAGGGATAATGGACACAGCTATAGCAAGAGAAGATCAGAAAATATTCCTCTATGCCACAGGAACGGCAAGGATCCTAATAGCTAAAAACTGGGGGGGGGGGGAACAGTGCCAACAAAAATGGAATGGCAAGATAAACTGTTAGAGTATATTGAACTGGCTAGATTAACAGAGGCAATTAGAGATCACACTAGACCTGAGTTTCAAAAATCATGCAGAAATGCAGAGAATACTTCACAAAACAGTGCCCTAAAATACATATCTTGACTTGTTTCGATTAATTTCTGCAGGAGACTTTGTGGATATTTAAGTTATAATTAGAAAAATCTTAATTATTCATAAAGGAAACAGCTTATAAGAAGTAAATAAGGAGGCCAGATACAGAATAAAGAAAGTCTTTTATTTGGTTGTTTGCATTGTTGTATGTTATGCTCATTGTATGTTATGTTCACGTTTAATGAGGGTGGATTTCCGTATTGAGGGGGTGGGGGGTTTATGTTATGTTGTAAATAAAATTTCCAATAAAAATTTATTAAAATAAAGTAAAAAGAGAACAAAGGAAAGGGGGCTCTGGGCCATATGTTTAATAGGTGGGATCCCTCTCTCAACAGACAAAGCCAGCCCTACTTTAGAGTGCTGAGTATGCAGTAATGCGACCTAGAATGTTTGATTTCTGATGGAATCCAAGGCTGCAGTTATGGGAGAAACAGGACCCTCCATCATAGGCTCAACTTGTAAATATGTGTGAATAAACTATATATCATAGAGACACCACAATCTCCACTGTGCCTCATTTCCAAAAGGAAACAAGAAACCCGGTTAAGTGCCTGGAACGCTTGGAATCTCACACTGCTCAGAGATTGATTTGTTTGTTTGTTAATACACACTCACTAGCCTCTGCTCTAGCAGCTGCTTCTGAAAAGTCTTGAGGGAAATAGGAAAATGGGACACTTATTTTAGAGGTAGGCGAAGCTCCAGGGTTCTCTTCTTGCTTGGAATCTCACACTGCTTAGAGATTGATTTGTTTGTTTGTTAATACACACCCACTAGCCTCTGCTCTAGCGGCTGCTTCTGAAAAGTCTCGAGGCTCAGGGAAATAGGGAAATGGGACACTTACTTTAGAGGTAGGCGAAGCTCCAGGGATCTCCTCTTGCTGGCTGACTTTCCCTCACCCACCTTGGCTGATTTCCTGAGCTCAGCCCCATGCCCTGCCAGCCCCCCCAGCCCCCTGCCTCCTCCCCACTTCCATTTCTCTTTTCTGGTGGTTATGGCAGCAAGTAGAGAGCATAAAGTTCCTCTCTTCTCCTTCCCTGTGCTGCTGATGTGCTGCAGAGCCACATGCCAGGGGTTGAAAAGAGAAGTGACTCCTTGGAAGATTTGGTCCACCCAAGTGCTACCAAACAAGACTTAAAGCTACAGGGGGAAACCATCCATAAGAACACAATGAGAGCCTGCTGGATCAGGCCAATAGTCCATCTCGTCCAGCGTCCTGTTCTCACATGGGTCAACCAGATGCCTCAGTGGGTATCCAGTGAAGCTGAATGCTGGAAGATTCAGGATGTTACCAGAAAAATCCGAGGGCTCCCTTGGACAAAATAAAGACACCAACCAGGATAACTTGGAGCAAAACAGCAGCCTGTAGGCTTGGCCTTTATTGAACTGTTGCAACAGGGTTTTCCCCTCACTTGCAAGAGAGAGGAAAGACCCAGAAAGATGGTGTGCAAGACCTTATAAAAACTTTTGAAATTCCCATCCTCTAGGTCAAGCCCACCCCCAGAAACATCATGCATACATTACAGAAAGGAGGGGTTGAGGGAGGAGTTGTGGTGGTAACCTGAGTGTCCTGTCACCTGGCTGGTTCCTCCTTTCCCCCTCCCCATGAGTCACTTCCAGGAGACAAAGGGGAGTTGGCAGTTTCCTGCCCCCAGAGGGAAGATCTGATCATTGTCCTTTGTTTCAGTCCATGCTGAATCCATATGCAAGTTCTTTTTGATCTTGATGGTCTTCTGTCTAGGACCATCAAGGTTGGCATAGCAACTGGGCAGGGCTCCTGTGGATGTGCTGGGATGGTGAAGGGATTATGGCTGACCAGAACCAAGCCACCCCCCTTTGATAGTCCTTGTCATATGGAGTAAAATAAAATGGAACAGT